TATGTGTACATATAGCCACCGCCATACATACATACATTCGTTCGCATATATCCGCTGTTGCTAACGGCAAAAACAACAACAACAAAGTTTAAGGTTCCGTTGCATTTCGGCGACGCTTGTAACCTCTACATTTTCGCGGTAGAAAGCATAGGGTGTTTCGTGCCTCTGACGCGGTCAGACATTTTAATTTATTTTATTTTTTTTTCTCGTGATCGAATAAAAAATATGTCTGATACGGAAAATTCGGTTCGGGCACCAAATGAATCCCCAAGTGACGTGGACTTCTACCGAGCCAAAGCCCAATCTATTTTGCGGCAAATAAACTCGATGAAATTTTATTTAAATGCTGATTCGGTCAATTTGATGAAGCTGATTTACTCGCGCGAATGGATTGGATCAACTCCTTAAACCAGGCATTTGATGCTGCGCAGACATCGTTGGAGCGACTGGATTTTACGGAGATCTCGAGCGACCATCGGATTGAATTTTCCAGAGTTTTCATGGATGTAAAGGCGAAACTAAGCCGAGGCTTAGCTGCTCATCGCAAGTCGCAATTGCCGGCTTCAATCGCTGCCAATTCAACATCTATTGATATGACTAACAATCCGGAACTTTCTTTTAGATCGAGGAAGCCTCGGTTGCCAAATCTGGAAAATGCTCGTTTTCATGGATCCTATGCTGAGTGGCCGGATTTTCTGGCGACGTTCCGGACGGTCATCGGAAATGATGATGAGCTAAGTGATATTGAGAAATTACAATATTTGCGGTCGAGTTTTAGGCGGCGTGGCTCTGGAGACCATACGCTCGCTCGAACCCTCAAATGCTAATTATCATAAGGCTATGAATTTGCTGATAAATCGATTCGATAATAAAGTTTTAAATTTTCACGCACACGTACAGGCAATATTTGGTTCAAAGGGTGTCGAGAAGGGATCGTCAAAGGGTCTTCGGGAGCTCAGTGATTGCATGAATTCACGTTTACGAGCAATTCGAACCCTGGCCACTACGCAACAGATTTTGGATGGGCTTCTAATACACATCGTCACTCGAAAGCTGGATCATAGGACGCGCGAAAAATGGGAAGAGGATTTATCGATCACAGAGCTGCCTACCTGGGATGCTATGGAGTCGTTTTTGGAGAAGAGATGCAGGATGATGGAAAACTTGGATCAAGCCTGGGTAACTCAAACACCAGGTCAGCAGGTGGGAAAAAACTTGCACAAATATAATCCAAGTGCACTTATTGCTTCTGCCACTAGCTCAAGCCATCAGATATGTTTGTGTTGCGATGCAAGGGATCATTATTTGCCAAAATGCCCTCGATTTTTGAATTTGAGCCCGAATCTTCGGTATAGAGAAGCAAAGAAGTTGCACCTTTGCTTAAATTGTTTGCGCAAGGGGCATAGTTTGCAGCAATGCAAGTCGACTCATTGCAGATATTGTCGCATGAAGCATCATTCATTGAACATTCACATGAACCATGACCCATCCGCACCATCCATCTCATTTTCATCTCCATCATGCGATCCATCCTCGAGCTCTCAGCCATTGCCATCAGCATCAGCATTAGTATCATGTTCGCAAGCATCATCTCATCCTGATCATCACTTATCAAGCCCTCCACCCAAAGCCTCAAATATTATGCCAAATGACTACTGGTTGCTTCCGACTGCTATTATATACGTGAGAAACAGAAGTGGAGCATTTATGCCTTGCCGAGCAATTTTAGATTCTGCCTCTCAGCTAAACTTCATAACCTCTCGCTTAGCTAGTCAACTTAATTTGAATCATAAAAACTCGCAAATCTCGATTGCTGGGATAGGAAAATATTTCATGAGTTCGGATAGGGTAGTCGATATTGTTGCGCAATCACGGGATGCCAGCTATCGTGCGTCATTCGCAGCTGTTGTGACTCACAGTATCACGGATTACCTGCCCCATTTCAATATAGAAATATAGATGCAACATCATGGAGAATTCCGCAGAACATTTCGCTTGCTGATCCTTATTTTAATCAATCGCAACGAATTGCTTGGCGCTGATTTGTTTTTCCAAATAATTTCCACAGGAAAAATTCATTTGGACAGGACTTTGCCAACTCTTCAGAACACCAAACTTGGTTGGATAGTCTCTGGAGGGTTATCGAGTATGCCCAACCCTGCTGATCGAGGAGACCTTCATCGAGGAAGTCACATCCGGCGGAGACGGCGTCATCAGAGTAGCTATGGTCCGTACAGCTACGGGTCTAAACAAGAGAGCCGTCGCCAAACTGGCCAGTCTGCCCATCGATTCCGAGATAGTTGGAACCGTACCTCTTCCAACGGGAGCAGACCGCCAGCACCTAGTCACGCGCGCATAGGTGTACCACTGCACCTGCAGCGCTCTTTTGTTTTCTCTTTTCTTATCTCGCCAAAGCTGTCGCGTTAAACCACAAACTACATTTTTACGCTCAAAAACATATATATATACTGAAGCCAAGCTTTACAAAAACACAGTCTCCAGCTCCGAGAAAAGAACACAAGCATTAAACACGGCTTATATTAAATTACCTATCGTGCGTTTTTTATTATAAACTAAAGGGTGGTCACCCCACAAACACCATACATTTCCTATAATGAAGATGAAATAAATCTAAATAGTTTTATAATGAATGCACAAACTGTGTTTAATGAAGTCCCTCATTTATTTGATGAGGTACAAAGTAGAAAAGATAAGTCGTTATGGGAAGAAGCCATTAAGGTCGAACTTTTTGGTCATGTTTTAAATAAGACATGGACTATTGTTAAGAGACCACAAAATAAGAATATTGTAGATTGTAAGTGGGTATTTAAACGTTCGCTCCTGTTGCTAGAATTTCTAGTTTTCGTTTAATTTTATCCATTGCAAACCAATATAATTTTAATGTACATCACATTGATGTTAAAACTGCTTTTCTTAATGGAACACTGAAAGAAGAAATATACATAAAAGTCCCTCAAGGAATTGTTTGCAATTATGAAAATGTATGTGCATTCATTATAAAACTATTTAGATTTATTTCATCTTCATTATAGGAAATGTATGGTTTATTTTTTAATCTATCGCTTCTTCTAGTTACATCATTAGTAACTTTATTAGCGATTTCGTTTGTTGACATTTTTCTAGGCTGTTTATGTGGGGACATCTGAGTACCTTTTTTTAAAAATCGAAAAAATTTTTTTTTTGGTTAAAAAAATTCTTTAGGGTCTTAAAAATAACATACCAAAAGAAAGACTCCGGCAAAAGTTTCTAAGTGTCGAAATTTTCCATTCTGCGGCGATGCCTCACATGTATCTATATACGACTTTAAAACTTTAAACGCGTTTTTCTCAAAACCACTTTTTTTGAGTCGGCCGGAAACCTAACTCGAACAAATCTTAACCGATCGATGTGAAATTTTTTGCTCTTTCCTACAAGGCAACTTAATGGGGATGGCCCAAAAGTAGGCAATAGTGGCCCTATTATTGATCTTATACAAAAAGAAAGGAAAGAGAGTTACTATTAAAGGTCGAGTTACTATTAAAGGTAAGAGAACTATGTTAGGGATAGCTAGTCGCTCTCGGACTCGCTTAAAAATGGAGTCCGCCGACTAAATCAAGGGATTCGGCAGGCTTGCTGGCGAGCGCTAGATCTTTTCCATTTGGAGCACCGAAGCGAGCAGTTGGAGTCTGTGCCAGGAAAAGTCTATAAATTTTATTTAAACAAAAAAATAATTAAGTTAAAGCATTTTTTTCCCTGGTGGATGTCACGCTCAAACTTTAATTTATTATCTGGAAAAAATACCAAATATCTGTGCGATGCAAGGGTGAGTATAGTCGCTCGCGATTCATATATACAACAAGAAACATATGGTAATTTGTGGATCGTAGCTCCAGCCAAATTGCCACTGGGAGCTGCTATAAGGGCCAGCCGGGATCGACGTCATCATCAAACCCCCCTCTCTCGCCGCTAAATAACTACAGCGCAATCCCGTCTCTATCGGCGATATTTTGTTTCTGCATTACGCACCCTGTGCCAGCTGGAGCGCAGTGCTGTTAATTTCACCGGACCAAACGGACGCAAGAGCGTAATAGCGGCTGGCTAAGCGAGGAGAACCGGCCAAATTCCGGGGAAAGGCGTCGGAAAAACGCTCGTGGAAGTGGCCAATCCGTGAGAAAGCTGCCCGAGTGTCGCCGGTGGAAAAAGTGCAGAAAATCTGAGGGAAAGAGCCCTTCAAGGAGGCCAAGCTGCCTGCCTCAGCTATTTGCCAACCCGTTCTAAGCCCTTCTCGTGAATTGCTAAATCAAAGCCAGCCGGAATCCAAACTAATATTGGTTTTCAGTAGTTTAGTTTTATTTAGTTTTTTTCCTTTAATTTTTTTTCGGTGAACAAGCCAAGAAACAAAAAAAAAGTTCGTAGAAATCCGTTAGAGTAGATGGGAAAAAGTGTAACCCAAAATGTGAAGAATTACCGCAAAACTCCAGCTTCTCTCTTCCTTTTCATTCGCCGATCTGTACTGACATACACGGTAAATTAAATAAGAAGAGATATGGAAATTTATAAGGCCAAAAATAATAGATAAATCGGAATTAAAGAAAAAAAAAAGAAGAGAGATGAGAAATGAGCGAGTAAAGGAAAAGGAGACAGCCTTCTTTTCTGCATTCTTTTTATAAAAAATAAAACGAAACGGAATAAATCAGGCCTGCTCCGGTAACCGAAAACGGCAAGATTTTTTCGTTTTCGTTTTTGAAAACGAGAAATTGGTGCTCCGGTAATCGAAAACGAAAGATTTTTTCGATTTGAAAAACGGGCACCTTTTTCTAGCCGGAATGAAAAGTAAATGGCTTTTTTGTAACGGAACTGCATATTTCCCTGGGCAATGCCGAGCTAGCTCAGTGGATGACCAGGGGGGGTACGAACCTATGCCCGCAGTCCGCACAATGAAACACCGATTAATCGGACGTCTCAAATAAAACTCCTCACTAACAAAAACACATCTCTAGAACAAAAACGTAAACAAACAAAATTGACGACTTTTCTTGGAAGGGAAATGGTGGCATTGATGGAGTCGCCACGACTCTCCCGCCCAACCTGTGGTGTCTCCGCTGTGTCTTGGGGCACCACCCATCTCCGGCGGACCGGAGTCTAATCCAGGCGGCCTGACGGCCGGCCCATCTCCCTAGGTAAATACTTTTACTCAACGTTCATCTTGGTTGCTTTAATTCGTTATAAATTTCAGGTACTTATTGCTAACATTGATTGCCCATGGGACTCATTCCCGGCCAAACGTCACCCTAGCCTGGGATGCGCTCGCGCCAAGACTGCGGCAGCGGAGAAGAAGCGGCAGTCCGCTAAAGAAAATAGCCACAAACTGACTTGAGAGATTCTTGAGATTTCCTTCTTTCCTACCTACTATCCCTGCTGGAGCTCCAAGAGAAATAAAGGGGATAGGTAAGTAAGATTTCAGTTAAATCCAACTTCTTCTAAGCCGTTTCTTTAATTTTGCAGAACTCGTGTTGCACAAATCCCTGACACAAGTTAGGAGACGCGGAGAACAAGCACATTGAAACGATACGAGTAAGTTAAATAATTAATCCAAACAAAACAACAGTACAATAATTAATTAATCCTATTGTAGCAACTATAAGGCAAGATTGGCGGCCCGCAATGGCGATGAGGCTTCACCAGTATGCGTGGCCAGAAATCGCAGTAGCTGCTGGCGGCGGCGAGCCCGATGAAAGTGGGGAGTACAACGCAACGGCCACGTCGTTTTCGGTCAGCGGAGCGAATAAAAGCCCCCAATATACGTAAGTTTTGCCGGTTCCGGACGGCACCTCATGGAACGGACTCACCGGATTCCAGTTTAATCAGGTGGATGGCTCAGGTAACGGCTGCTAAGAGGCTCGTTGGAAATTTTCACTCGCTCTTATCCAGAAATATCCGCCCAACAACGTCGGTGGCGGGTAAGCTTTACAATATAATTCCGAAACAAAGATGCCGTGGCCAGCGATTCTATCACTGCCACGCTGAAATTACACATCCATTAATTAAAACGTTTTTTCCTTCACTTTCACTACATGCACCCACGTTCTCGAGTTGATTCATATTTTTCAGGAAATTAGCGGCGTTTATCTCGACCTCTCGTTGCTACTGCCGTTTCCCATGCTGCTTATCCCTCCCTATATAGCCTTCGGTCTGACACCCGAGTTCGGACTTAGGAACCGTTCTTTCCTCAGTGCAACGGCCGAAGCCAAGGGTAAAAACCCTTTCTCTTAAATCCCTTAACCTGAGCCCGTTACCTATTCCCGGTTCGCTCATTCAAATCCCTGCCCCTCCATTCCGATTGAAAATTCAACATTTTTTATATAAAATCAGATCTTATTTACAAAAGGAACAAAATAGTTTACTCAGTGGTCTATTGATGTTACTTCCACACCACCACAAGATCATTCTGGCATGTAGTTATTTTATAAAAGATTTGACAACAAAATTTTTGCCGTGTTCAACAAGTTTTCTCGTTTTGGCGATAGGTCAATAAGTCCATCGCAAAGAGTTATCGCCAAGGTTGCCATATTGTCGGTGGAATGAAACAGCCATTTGTAACTAAACAATTGCAATAAGCAATTGTAAATATAAAAGGCAGTTCTTCACGTTGTTTGCTTTTTACCAAAATAACAAGTCAAGTGCTTGAGCAACAAGAAACGATGAGAAAACGAAACATTGCGATAGAAATTTTTTTTCGAAAACCGGAGTAGAAAAAACGAAATCGTACGATTTCGACCAAAACGAAAACAACAAAATTTTACGATTACCGGAGCAGGCCTGATTATCTATTTTTTATATAAAATATATATTTATGATTTATTTTGAATTTTTGAATCTCTTTTTCTAACTTTTTAATTTTATAATTTTTATTTAAAAAAAGAAACACAACACAGGAAAAATGACCTGCGCCCGTTCTATGCTTGTGTGGGATCACACAAAGCATTTTTTTAATCACTCGCTAGCACCCTTTCGGCAGTAACAAAAAACAATCGGGTGTCAAATACACCCAGGTGTGTCTTATTGCCGCAAATAGGGTGCCTTAAGCACCCGGGTGTCTGAGACATCACACATACATTAAAAAAAAATTTAACAATGATTATTTTATTCTCTCTCTCTAAATCAAAAAAAATGTATTGTACTTCAACAATAACAACAATAATATTTACTTATGTGCCAAAAAATAGGCAATCTTTAGGAATTTTGTAGACAAAGAAAAAGACAACTTTATTACGCGTATTTAAAAGAAAAACTGAGATATGACGGTCGCCAGTTGGAAAAATGTAGTTTTCCAGAAAACGCGTTTAAGGGGTTATCTGGGCTTTAAAACTTCAAAAAATTCATTTTTTCAAACTTTTTTATAGTCCAAAGTGTCAGAAATGTTGTCCGACTGTAAGAATTGGAGAAATAGAAAGCCCAGCGCGTCGTATCACAACTGACAATTCGAACTTTGGCGTCTCGAAAACTATTGCACCGATCGACTTCTGCTTTTGCACACATCTTTTAGACATGTATTCATTGTCGTTGAACGAAAGATTTTTTTATCTTCAAAAACAACTCATTTTATTAGCCAAAATATGGCCACAAATTAAGGAAAAATGTACACTTTTTATGAAAAGCGCCACAAAAATTCAATTTTTAATTAAAAAAAAAAAATACTTCGTTCAAAGACAAGCCAGACATATACATATGTACATACATATACAATTATGTACTATTTGTTGTTCAAATTTTTACTCAATTTAGTTCAAACCTTGCACATTAATGTAGAATAAATGAAATTTATAAAATTGTCGTAGGTCTTTTAAAAAAATTATATATACCTGTCGTTCCTATAGCTACATGATATAATCATCCGATTTGCTGAAAATTAAAATCGATATTCTGAAATAATACAAAAAGGCCATATCTCAGAGTAAATGAAAGTAAGTTGGAAAATTGCGAACTTAAAATTTTCATTTAATTTCACGATCGTTTCTATGGCATATGACGTTCAGCGATGTATACGTTATGCGTTTATAGTACACGAGAGCAGTAGACTATAGGCAGAGGTATGTGGCAACCCGCAAAAACAATAATTCAAGAGTAGTGTTCAATTTCAACAAGGAAGAATAGTATTAGTTTATTATCGCAACGAAGTGACCTTCTTAAAATATACACAAAAAATCTAAATTTCTATATATAGTCCCATATGCTTTCTACTTCTATAATGATTTTTGCTATGAATAACTTTTAATTTTTTTTCATAATTCGATTAAGAAGCAACGAAAAATTCTCCCGCCTTTAGACTTTTTATAAATATATTAATATATGTACATTTTCAAGTTACACAAGATTCATTTGTTGAAAAAAAATCAACTGTCCGCTAAAAGGTTTCGTTTTGATCTTTGAACAGATTTCACTTGCTTTTATTTAACTTTTAATGGTAACACAAATCCCACACAACATAAATGTTTTTTTCTTATTCCAAAAATTATCTGTATGGCGTGGTCCATGTACAAGTAAAGACAAAACTTAAACAATCTTGTGCTTCATTCTGTTTTATTTAAAGTTTCTCTCTGCTACATTTTCTGGAGATGGCAAAAAAATATATTTTATATTTTTCCGAACTTAAATTAGTGACAATTGGTTAAATAAATAATTAAGAAACACAGCACTAGTTTACCTTTCTTCATCATAAATATTAAAATATAATTAAAATTGGGCGATTACTTTATCCTAATAATGACAAAATATATACAGAAAAAAAGGAAATGGTAAACATTACAATGAAATAACCAATATGATCTTAACTTTTTGGACTCGTTATAATATAACAGCATTCAAAATTTGTTAACGGCAGCAGTTGTAAAAACTGGTTTAAATAACTTTAACAAGCTACAGTTCTAACTTGATTTTTTATTAGGACATTCGTACTGCACTGCACATAAAATATATTTAAAAAAAAAAAGCATTTTCGGCACACCGAATTTTTTATACCTTTGCCTCATTAACAATCTATTCATTTTGATCAAATGAAAAAAGACAAAGGAGATTATAACACATTTTTACATACCACAAAATAATTCGGTTTTTATCAAATTTCAGCAACAATCAGGCCTGCTCCGGTAATCGTAAAATTTTTTTCTTTTTCGTTTTGAGCGAAATAATTCGCTTTCGTTTTTAGCTGCTCCGGTTTTCGGCAAATTTCTGCTTTCGTTTTGCTATCGAAATGTTCCGTTTTCTCATCGTTTCTTTCGCTCGAACAGTTGATTTGTAATTTTGGTCAAAACTAAACAAAATAAAAAATGCCTTTAATCAGGCCTGCTCCGGTAATCGTAAAGTTTTTTCGATTTCGTTTCGGGCGAAAACGAACAGTTTTCGTTTTTAGCTGCTCCGGTTTTCGGCAAATTTCACCTATCGGAATGTTTCGTTTTCTCATCGTTTCTTATTGCTCAAGAAGCTGACTTGATTTTTTGGTAAAAAGCAAACAACGTGAAGAGCTTCCGTTTACATTTACAATTGCCTATTTTGAAGCCGGCAAAAGACAAAAAATCATGGAGTTAAGCAAATCTAGGCATTTTAGATGATGCCACATTTTTCAGTTTTAGTTCCGGTGGTCTCAATTAATTGTTTGGTCAACTTTGACCATTTAAGCAATCAAATTAAATAGCATTATTTACATACAACAATTTTGGCGCTCCTTTTAAGTTATTACCGTTTTCGATTACCGGAGCAGGCCTGATTGTCATATATACCTACATTCATTATTATTCAGGCCTGCTTCGGTAATCGAAAAGGGCAATATTTTTTCGTTTTCGTTTTTGAAAACGAGAATTTTTATGGCCGGAATGAAAAGTAAATGGCTTTTTTTATATGAAATCAGATCTTATTTACAAAAGGAAAAAAATAGTTTACTCAGTGGTCTATTTATGTTACTTCCACACCACCACAAGATCATTCTGACAGGTAGTTAAATCTAAAATGCCTAGATTTCTAATTTCCACTCGGAAGTGAATTTGATAACATTTGCGGATTTCCCTTTAACAGAAGCGAATTTCCCTTGGTGATTTAAGGAAATTTTTTAAAATTTCCCTTAAATTCCCAAACAAAATCAGCTGGTCGCTTTCAACATAAGAGTTTGCCTTGTCTAAGATTTGCTAAAAGGGGCTGATCAAATTTTGGCCCGCTGTAGTCTCCAACTCATGAAGTACTAATTTAATTAATAAAATCGGAATAAGCATTTACGACAGGAAATAAACATTTTGAAATATTTGTAATTGCAATCAGCTGTTCTGGTGGCAAAATGCTCGAGAGTAGAGTGGCCGAGGGTTTGGAAAAAATTCCCTTCGCATAACATTTAGTTCAGTTTGTAGATTAAATTAGCTGGTATTTTAAACAAAAACACTTTTTCATATACTTTACCCTAATAGCAGATCTTTTAATTGTAAAACAACATAAAAAGTAATTGTTCAAAATTAATCTTAAATATATGCCTTTTTTTTTTAAACACTGACAACCCTTAAATGGTCCCTCTCAAATACGACACAGCGGCAGCGGATTTGCAATAATGTTGAAGGTTAGAATCGAACCGATTTTAAGGTGCACCCACAAAATAATTATTTATAAATCAAGTACTTTAGTATTAGCTAATTCAATTATGCAATAATGTTTCCAAAACCTCTAGGAATAGATTACAATTAACATTTGTAATATACATAATCGTATTGTATTTTAAAATAATTAATTTCTGATTTTGCGGATTTGAATCCGCCGACCCTATGGCACACGGAAAGTTTCCGAACGTTTCGCCTGCAAATTAACAGAGACTTAACAGAGGGAAATACGAATCCGTAAGAATTTTTCGGATGTGAACACTAGAACAGGTCAGGGAAATCCGAATCCGAATAAATTTTGCGGAAGTGGAAACTAGAACAGGCCTGATAAGCTTGATCTGCGCTGTCTTAAGGGGGTCTTCTCATTCAAACCCCGTTTTTTTGACCCTTTTTAAAAAAATTCTTATTTGAAAACGCAAAGAGTAATTGAAAACTTTTTTTATTTATTGTATTCAAAAATGTTCAAAGTAAATAAAAAAATTGTTTTTGCCTCGATACGAGTGTTGTTCAAAGAGTAATGAGACTTCAAACTTGGTGGTAGAAAAAAAAGGTGTCGTCCTGGCGGCCATGATTCAGGGTCTCCAGAGCGTCCGAAATAAAAAAAAGGGGTTATAATCAGAATAGATGTCATTTTCGGGTGACGGAACAGATTTTTTTAAAAATTTTTTTAAACAAAATGACGGCCATTCAAAAAAAAATTCGATTTCGAGCTTTTTTTTTTTTTTGTAGTTTAGTGTAAACAAAAAAATAGCAAAAAAATTAAAAAAAAAAAATCTGTTCCGTCACCCGAGAATGGTGACAATTCTGCGTCGATTCCACTTTGTTTCATGAAAATCGGTTCAGTTGAACTGGAGATATCATGGCCGCCAGTTCGAAAAACGTCGTTTCGAGATAAACGCGTTTGAAGTTTGAAAAAAGCTCATTTTGCGAAGAGTTTGCTTCACAAAAAAGTCTGTATCTTCTAAAGTATTTCGAATTTCTAAAAATCCTTTTGGGGACATATACACAACATCCCAAGCTATAATTAATTGCAAAAAAAAATCGAAAAAAAAAGTTGCCCAATGAGAAGACCCCCTTAAACGGATCACGACTCAAGAACGACATATTACGAATGTATACTTTGGAAATAACTCTTTTCTATTTAAATAAAGAAAAAATAAATAAAAGTTTGAACTATAGTTATTCTCAAAGGCGATAACATAACTGGCGACGAGGTTAAAAACAATAAAAAGTTATTTTGAGAAAGAAATAACATCACTGCACTAACCATCACTTGCACGAGCGGGAAAGCAACGGGAACCGAAAAGAGAATTACAAACGGTCAGCAGAAGAAGCGACAGTGGAAAATTACCGGCGATTACATCAATAGTACCTAGCCCAAAGGCATACATAAGTAATAGGCCAAATAAAGGTAAATTGTGCGACAATTTTTTTTTTAACAACAATTTTTTTTGGAACAAGTAAAAAAAAAAAAAATTAATCCCAATTCAATAAACGCATTTAATTCAACATTCGAGGGTAGCAATCATAACCAACTGTCCGACTTTAATTCCCAAATCAACTCCATTGAACCAATGATTAATGGATTCTATGATAGCACAAAAAAATACTCTTTGGCTTTATACGAAATAAATGCACTGGGCTGGAAAGACCAGTTATTCATCGGATCATGTTGTGTCCGCCGTATCGATGGTAGCGTAAATATCCTTAAGGTTGGAAATGGGCAGCACAGGTTCCAGAGCTGCCAACTGGGGTCGACTCGGAAAGGTTTATTAACCTGTTAAAGGAGAGTAGAAAACCTAACGGAGTTCGAATGGCGTGTTTTCGATCTTCGCTGCCTCCGTTAGGCTTTGAGCGGCAGAGAAAAAAAAAGAACGAAACTTCGAGCGCGACACCGGGTGCGACGACGGCTCCGCGTCATGTTTATTTGTTTTAAAAACCGAAAATAAATTAAGAATCGGGCGCCCATCTTCGGCACACCGAAGTTTGTATACCCTTGCAGATTGGTTTTCATATTTATATTATAAATTATAATGCCGAAAACAAACATTAAACAGAGTTTCATAACATTTTACCATACTTATTATGTTTACAGTTTGACAGTTACAGTTTTACATTCCCAGCTTTATATATTTTATACATTTACCGATCGCTTCTATGGCAGCTATAAGATATAGTTGTCCGATTTTTATGAAATTTATGCCAAAATTCTATAATAATAAGTAAAGCTCATATCTCAGAGTAGATGGAAATACGTTAAAAAACAACGAAGTTATAATTTTTTCTTTAACTTTCCCTATCGTTCCTATGGCAGCTATAAGATATAGTCGTACGATTTTCATAAAATGTATACCAAAATTTTGAAATAATACCAAAAGCTCATGTGTCAAAGTAGATTAAAATACGTTGAAAAACAACGAAGTTATAATTTTTTTTCGATTAATTTCCCGATCGTTCCTATGACAGCTATAAGATATAGTGGCCCGATTTTCATAAAATTTTTACCAAAATTCTGGAATAATAAAAAAAGGCTATATCCCAAAAATGGTGGAATAATATTGAAAAACAGCCAAGCTATAATTTTTTTTTCCAAAAATTTATCGAACATTTGTATGGCAGATATATGATATAGTCGTCCGATCCAGCCCGTTCCGACATATATAGTAGTGAGAGTATATAGAAGACTATATGCAAAGTTTCATTCAGATAGCTTTAAAACTGAGGGACTAGTTTGCGTAGAAACGGACAGACGGACAGACGGACGGACAGACGGACATGGCTAGATCGACTCGGCTATTGATGCTGATCAAGAATATATATACTTTATAGGGTCGGAAACGTCTCCTTCACTGCGTTGCAAACTTCTGACTGAAATTATAATATCCTGCAAGGGTA